CCCTGCAACAACAAGCAAAACTCAAGGCCTGGATGAGCACACTGCTGAATTCTTACAAATGGGTCAGGAAGAACTAGTCTCAAGCCTGCATAAGACCAGAAAACAGCAGTCAGAAAGACAAAATCCTTCAAAATGCCTTCCATCATCACCTTCATATCAAAACTGGAAAGAAGGACAACATCACAACAAATATACACCAATATTCCTTATGAACACAAGTGCAAAATCCTCCAGAAGACATCACATTCTCCACCTGAACATACAACAGAAGGTGGATTCAGCAGATCTAGGTGGGATCTCTAAATTTCACGCAGGGATGCCTAAACTTTACAAATTCCCAGAAGATGAAACACATTGCAGTATGCATAGTTACTCCTCATGAGAAGTAGACAAGACAGGAACAGTTCAATCTACCTTCTCAATATGGTAGTAGACTACAATGCCATGATACCCTTAGAGCAGAAAGCTAAGGTTGTATCTGCTATCAGACTTCTCCACCTTGCCGAGACATTAGAGAAAAATATTTGAACAGTAAAATGGGGCAGACAGAAGTGGGAAAAATGTTGGGCATTTATCTCATAACAACTGCATTATACAGGATATTATCACCAAAAATTATACATTTCATGCCACTTTGTGCCAATGCTTACCACACATGTCTCTGTGCTCCTCAGATGCTGAGCAGGGCTCACTCTACTGTGTGCTCGAAGATACTGCACACAAGGAACTGTAGCAGTGTGTCTCTACTGAGAACCTGAAATACTATAGTCAAGGCTGTCTTGGTGCAACTATGCCCTCCCTTAAGATGAGGACACAGTCCCCGTCACAAGGCGGGGTCAGAGACCCCGGCCTTCTCCTGGCCCGGGTGCACCTAAGTCCCCTCGCGTGTGAGTACCCGCGGGGACTGGCGTGGCGCTGGGGGTAAAATCCTGTCTCTCCCCTGTCCCCGCCAGCCAAAACCTGGCGGCAGGACATGTAGGGCGGGTCACGTCTCAGGAAAAGGGTCAGGTTTCAACCCTCATCGAGGTGGCACTCAGTGGGGCACCTCTGCCGGACGGATCCCCGCTGGGGTCTTGGCCACAGTCCCCGCTACAAGGCGGGCATAGAGACCCAGGCCTTCTCCTGGCCCGGGTGCACTAAGAACCCTTGCGGGTTAGTACCCGCGGGGACTGGCGGCAGCCGGGGATAAAATCCTGGCTCTCCCCTATCCCCGCCAGCCAAATTCTGGTGGCAGGACAGGTAGGGCGTCTCACGCCTCAGGACCTGGGGCCGGGTTTCAACCCTCATAGAGTTGGCACTCAGTGGGGGCGCCTATGACGGAGGGAATCCCGCCGGGTTCTCGGTCACAGTCATCGCCACAATGGTTGGGCTGAGACCCTGGCCTTCTCCTGGCCCGGTTGCACCGAAGCCCCCTCGCGGATGAGTACCCGTGGGGACTGGCGGTGGGCTGGCGGTAAAATCCTGGCTCTCCCCTGTCCCCACCAGCGAAAAGCTGGCAGCAGGGCATGTAGAGCTGGTCGCGTCTCAGGACAAGTAGCAAGTTTCAACCCTCATGGAGGTGGCACTCGGTGGAGCCCCTCTGCCGGACGGAACCCGCTGTGCTCTGGGCCACAGTCCCTGCCAAAAAGTGCGGGCAGAGAACCCTGGCTTCTCCTGGCCTGGGGGCACCTAAGCCCCCTCGCAGGAGAGTAGCGCAGGTGTTGGCGGGGGGCTGGGGGTAAAATCCTGGCTCTCCCCTGTCCCCGCCCCCAAAAACTGGCGGCAGGACAGGCTGGGCCTGTCGAGTCTCAGGACAAGGGGCGGGTTTCAACCCTCATCGAGGTGGCTCTCGCTGTGGGCGCCTCTGCCGGACGGAACCACGCTTGGGTCTCGGACATAGTCCCCTCCACAACGTGGGGGCAGAGACCCTGGCCTTCTCCTGGCCCGGGAGCACATAAGCCCCCTCGCGTTTGAGTACTCGTGGCGACTGGCAGGGGGTTGCGGGCAAAATCCTGGCTCTCCCCTGTCCCCGCCAGCCAAAAGCTGGCAGCAGGACAGCTATGGCGGGTCACGTCTCAGGACAATGGGTGGGTTTCAACCCTCATCGACGTGGCAATCTGTGATGACGCCTCTGCCGGACGGAACCCCGCCTGGGTCTGGGCCACAGTCCCCGCTGCAAGTTGGGGGAAGAGACCCCAGCCTTCTCCTGGCCCGGGGGAACCTAAGCCCCCTCACGAGTGAGTAATAGTGGGGGCTCTCGGGGGTCTGCTGGTAAAATCCTGGCTCTCCTTTGCCCTTGCCAGTCAAAAGCCGGCGGCAGGACAGGTAGGGTGGGTCATGTCTCAGGACAAGTTCCGGGTTTCAACCCTCATCGAGGTGGCACTCGTTGGGGGCGCCTCTGCCGGAAGGACCCCGCCGGGTTCGTGGCCACAGTCATCACTGGAAGGTGGGGGCAGAGACCCCGGCCTTCTCCTGACCCAGAGTCACCAAAGCCCCCTCGCGGGTGAGTACCCGCAGGGGCTGTCGGGGGTCTGGGGGTAAATTCCTGGCTCTCCCCTGTCCCCGCCAGGCAAAAGCTGGCAGCAGGACAGGTAAGGCTGTTCGCGTCTCAGGACAAGGGGCGGGTTTCAACACTCATCGAGGAGGCACTCGGTTGGGGCGCCTCTGATGGACGGAACACCGCCGGGGTCTGGGCTACAGTCCCCGGCCTACTCCTGGCCCGGTGGCACCAAAGCCGGCTCGGGGGTGAGTACCTGTGGGGGCTGGCGGATGCCTGGGGTAAAATCCTGGCTCTCCCCTGTACCTGCCAGGCAAAAGCTGGCGGCAGGACAGGTATAGAGGGTCGCATCTCAGGACAAGGGGTGGGTTTCAACCCTCATCAAGGTTGCACTATGTGGCAGAGACCCAGGCCTTCTCCTGGCCCTGGGGCAATAAGCCCCCTCGCGTGTGAATACCCACGGGGTCTGGCGTGGGCCTGGGGGTAAAATCCTGGCTCTCCCCTGTCAGCGCCAGCCAAAAGCTGGCGGCAGGACATGTAAGGCGGGTCATGTCTGAGGACAAGGGGCGGGATTCAACCCTCATCGAGGTGGCTCTCGGTAGGGGCGCCTCTGCTGGTTGGAACTCCGCCGGGGTCTCGGACACAGTCCCGGCCACAAGGCGGGGGCAGAGACCCCGGCCTTCTCCTGGGCCGGGGGTACATAAGACCCCTCGCGGGTGATTACCCGCAGGGATTTTTTTTGGGCTGGTGGTAAAATCCTGGCTCTCCTCTGTCCCCGCCAGCCAAAAGCTGGCGGCAGGACAGGTAGGGCGGGTCATGTCTCAGGACAAGGGACGGGTTTCAACCCTCATTGAGGTGGCTCTCGGTGGGGGCGCCTCTGCTGGACGGAACCCCGCCGGGTTCTTGGCCACAGTCCCTGCCGCAAGGCGGGGGCAGAGACCCAGGGCTTGCGCGGCCAGTGCTCCAAATGGTGCCAAGCTCTTCCTGATGGCCTCCCAGTGGCGAGCTCTGGGCTTTTGATGATATGAAATAGGTGATTTGTGACACCCAAAAAAAGATAGCGTTAGTGTAGGTGAGAAACTAATTTCTCCTGATTCCCAGAAACCGGGACATGAAACCTTAATGTAAGTGCGGGACTGAGAGCTGAATTTTCGGACTAAGCAAACCTTAGTCCACTAGCATGACTGGAACACAGGGGGCAACACAGGACATGCCCAGCTTGGTTTTGGCTCCAACTGGTCCACATTAAGCACAGAGTTGAGCCACAGTGTCTAAGGCAGGGTCATGACAGGTGGATGGGGCTGTGGCAGGGTCTGGATACAGCTGTCCTCTCCCTTGGCACAAATGTGGATTGGGAAAAGATGTACTGGGCCGGGCCAGACAGTAATACCTTCTGGTGCTTTAGAGTGCCAGGGTGGATGTGGGATGGACTAGGCTAGGTCCCAACCTCAACTTAGCCATATACGAGCTATATGGGGGCATGGATGACCGTGGCTGGGCTGAAACACTCTACAGCAAGAACCAGAAATGGATGATGGACAGTTAGGAAAGACCACTGTTCCTGCTAGGACAAGAGGCGAACTGGCACATGGACCCACTGATATGCGCGAAACCTGGCACATGAAGGGGTTCTGATGGAGGAGCTCAGGCAACTCCTCTGGCAGGACACAGACCCTGCAGGTCAGCGGAAGCAACATGCAAGGCAACAGCCAAGATGTCATAGAAAGTGTCCCACTGGCATGCATTTGGCATGGGTCGGGGGCAGACCAGGCTGAATCTGTTCATGTCATCCACTGGTAAATCTGATCGCCAGAACAGAGTGTGGGTCGAACCAGGTCCGGTCGTGACAAAAGCAACACACAAGCTGGAATGCCAAGGTGAGGTAGCCTGAGCCGGATGCAGCCGCAGCACCCAACCAACACACGTGAGAACCAGGAAAGGAGGCGGCAGAGCTGACAGGAGAAAAAGGGGAGGTTCCCTAGCTGAACAGCAACTTACACTGAGGATCGTGAGCTGGGTGGGGGGTAGACTAGACCAGGCAGGGACACAGCGCCTGTGCACCTCATGTGGACCAGATTGGATGAAAACCAGGCTGGGCTGACTATTCCCACTGGAGCAAGCTACAATCAGAGTTGGTGAGGGTTGTTGGGGCTTAGTTGTAGCACCAGCTAGCGGAAGCTGGTACAAAGGGTTAGACACATTGAGTTGAACCACAGGGCCAACTGGAGAGGGCACAACTGGAATTGGAGCGACCTGGGAGGGAAATAGTGGGTTCCTCCCTCGTGGGTCATCACCTTCCATGGGAGGGCATGGGAACTAGGACAGGGGCTGGGGTGGCTAGACAGACACCCAACAATATCTGTTAGGGACAGTAGGAGGAGATGGTTGGATGAAAGTAGGTTGCAATACCTGTTGACAAGAATATGAACAGAAGGGTACTTGGGACAGACTGGGCTAGTATGCCATATATACTGGCAAGCCAGGGTAGGAGGTGGGCCTGGTTGAGGTTACTGTGGGCCGCCCTGACTGGGCTGCAACTTCTACTGGTACATGCGAGGGACAAGTGCATCCAGGGTGGAACCAGGTGGGACTGCAAGAGGACACGGGTGGAAACAGAACCCGGCCCAGCAACTGCTGCCGCCAGCTGATCGGGGCGGCGGACTGTGCCGGGCCCTATGCTACTAGAACAGCAGGAATCTGGACTGGGAATACCCCAAAATTTCTTTGAGGATCTCCCCATTTGAGACACCGGACTTGGAGTCCTAACCAGGGAAAGACAGGACAAGTCAAGCAACAACCTCAGCCATCTGTTGGCAGCAGAGACTGGGCAAATGGAGACTCTAGAGGAGACTGTGTCAATCAATGGACTCTTCAATGACCACATCATGCTTGGGGTGGAGAGACTGGCAGTGACCCATGAATGGTGAACTATTGGAACCACTTGATCGAGTATCTCGGAGCGTGCCCCACACCCGAGACTTGGGGTGGGCGGCAGACTGGGTGGCCCTTCTTCCTCTATATCCCCCTTTAGGCCTTGAACCTTTTTTACACCTATTAAATTTGTAAGGATTGTCAAAAATAAAAAAATAAATAAAATTAAAAAAAAAAGAAAATGTTTTTTGAATGCAATAATAAAAGTATTTGTTCACTCATTGCTCTTTTCTTTTCATCTTTGTTCTCCTTCCACCACAAGTAGCAGCACCCCTGCTTGTCTTTCAGATGTCAGTACCAGACTACCCTTTGCCAAAGACTATTCCCAGACATACTTGTCACAGTCTTTGCAGCTGGTGCACAATTTGTTCCTTCCAGATGCTTTGTCTTTTGCTTGTGCTTCATCGTCCCAACAGTTGGGAATTACTCAAAGCTGCTGCTTGCCCCATAAAGTCTTGCTGTTATAGTCAACAAATTGTAAAACGTAACAATATTAGAATAATCAAAAACAATACATGTCAACGATATCCTCTCCAATAGTTGCCTAATGTCCTGCTCGCTACTCAGCACAGAGTCAGGAATGTTATAAGTTCTCACCAAGGTGCCAGAAACATTCTATCAATGATTGAAGATGTCACTCCATTCCAAAGGTCTAGCCAATAGTTTCAGGATGACAGTTCTGCCAGAGCCGAATTTATATGTGATTTATTTCTTCGAATGGAAAGCTAGTGTTGATTTTAATGTATCTATCATTTCTTGAAACCAAGAGGAGAAGATAGAGAAATTAAATTATTTGATGTGAGACCATGATATGACCCATATGCTTTGATTTAGAACCATGATTATTCCTGTGTCACAGAAGATATTGAATATTAGTAGTTGCATTGTCTAAATTTTACATAAATATAAATGTGCTAATAAAAGCAACATGTCCATTTTGCTTGAAAAACAAAACAAAGCACCTACTGCTTGAAAAAATACACAAAGCATGTGTGTATCAAAATGTCACATATATCTAAATAGTGTGAAATATTTGAATGTCTGTGTAATTTTTAAGAAGCTACATATTAATTCCCTTTAATTATGAGGTAAGAGAATCAAGATGGAGGATCCGTTAGGGACTGTTTAAATGGACAGAAAAACATTTAATCAGGATGAAGTAGAGCGAACACGTTCCAGGAAATAGAAGAGAGAAGACAACTGCAAGAGGGTACCTGGACATTGTCAGACACAGGAAAGCAAAGGACACAACGGTGTGGTGTTGCAGTGACTGATACTCCAGTGGCATTCAGCTAACCGGCAATCTGAACGCCACCAGCAACCAGAACTCCACCAGCAAGTAGGAGGGAAGGGAATTTCACTGGGAGCTTGGGAGGTGAACCCAAAGGACCATCCATTTTGCTGATTCATTTAATTTGACCAGGAACAGAGACAAAGTAGCAGATCACAAATGAGCGGTATGAGAAAAGCATGGATTTCACAGCCCATTTAGACTCCAAGAGCTGAACTGGGCACCATTTTGCATAAGGAGGCAAACGCACAAGAAAGGACTGACCATACGCTGAGCTGTGAGTGAAATCACTTCTGAGTCAGGGACATGCATCAGCATGGCATTCTACAGGTTCCACCCAAGACAGGTCTGGGTGCCTTCAGATCTGATGGGCAGAAGATCCAGAACTGAAGCATTGGTATGTCATGCACCATTGCATATACTGTGGCAATAACTTTAGGACTGCAAGGGACAACAGTGGACTGCACATGTGCTGAGCTTATGAGAACTCAGTGATTTTCATGGATTGCAATGGTCCTGCAGGAACATAATACCGACTATGGCAGGTTCTGGCAAGATCAGTGCCACCAACCATCTCACTCTATAGGATACCTGGTGTGTCTCTATTCCTGGGACCTGTTCCAACCTAAAGTAGGAAAAATGGTGCAGAGACAATGGTGCAACTTCAGCATGGTATCATGGAAGTGGAGATTGGTGAGCCAGCATTTGGGAAGTTCTTGGTGGACATCTAACATCTAACTACAGGGTTCTTGGTGAAAAAATAATATAAGAACGCATAGCTGGACCTCTGAGTGACCCTCTGAATGCCACCTTAATATGCTTCCTCTCTATCTCTGCTACTTTTTCTGTTTTGGTGGTTCTCCAAGTGTCAGTTTGCCTTCATCCTGTCTTCTCTTATTGTCTTGTATTTTATCCACGCTGCTTCACCTTGCATAATCCTTCTTCATGTGATTAACTATGTCTCCAATATACAAATATACTACAATATAACTCTCAGTTATTTTCGTTTACATGTCTCTTGGAGTGATGGGAAAACTCATCTCCAATGTGTATGGAATGACACATCTACTAGTATTAGTATCCAAGGATCACATGCCTAGTTTTCTTCAATTTCTAACTCTTATTATCAGGTTGAAACAAGTGGCAGAATTATCCTGCCATAACATCAAAAGTCTGTACCATGGCTCATGAGTGCTTCGGTATAAATAAAGTGAATAGCTTTCTTGTATTGTCCATCATGATCCTGGAACTGTATTAGCCTGTTTTGTTCCTCTTTGTGCCTCATCCCTACACCCTTTGAGAGTTCTGAGCTCAGCTGGAGCTGATTTCTGGCAGCAATGGAACCAGGGCAGCCTTGTGCTCCACATGGGGCTCTGCCATGCACCTGAGGGCCGTAAGGACTACATAGCTCTCAGCCATAGATCTGAGGTGTGAGCAGACCACATGGTATTCTGTCTCTAATTTGAAAGCTCTAGCATCATGTGTTGTGCCAGCATGCATCTGAGGGCAGTGTGGCTCACCAGGGAATTTGTTATGAATCTGAGGAATGTGCAGATCACTTGGGGCTCTTCCATAGATCTGAGAAGCATGCACAACACACAGGACTCTGCATGGATCTGAGGGCTGTGTGGACTACCAGGGGATCTGACATGGGCTTAAGGGAGTATGGCTCACATGGGATTCTGCCATGGATCAGAGCAGCGTGCAAACAAAATGTGGTTTCCCCATGATCTGAGGGATGTATGGCTTATGATGGTCACTTACATGTACCTGAGTGATGTATGTACAACATGGGCTCTGCCATTAATCTGAGGGCTGTGGCGACTACATGGGCTCTGCCTTGGATATGAGGAGCATGTAAAGCATACAGGGCTCAGCCATGGATCAAGGGCTGTGCGGATCACCTGGGCTCTGCCATGGACCTGAGGTGCATGTGGCTTATGCAAGATTCTGTCATGGATTTGAGTGGAGTTGGATCACCCAGTGTGTGGCTCATGAAGGACTGTGTCATGGACCTGAGGGCCATGAGGTTCATCCAGGATGTTGCCATGGATCTTCATTCCCCGAGGACCATATAGGGCTCTGCCATCACATGAGGATTGTGCATCTCACTTTTTATTCTACTATGGATCAGAAGAGCTTATGTCTCACACAGGGCTATGCCATGTATCTGAGGGGCATGAGGACCACGTGAGACTCTGCTTGAATCTCAGGAGTGTGAGGAGCACCTCCATGTCTACCATGGATCAGAGGGTTGTGAAGGCTAATTGAGGCTCTACTGTAAATTTGTGGTTCATGCAGCACAGAGAGGCCATGGATATGAGGTGTGTGAGCAAAACATAAGGATTTGATAGAGATCAGAAGAGTGTGTGGACCCCCTGGGTCTCTGCAATGAATCTGACGACCATGAGAATGGCAAGGAGCTCTGTTATGCATTTCAGGGCTGTTTGGGATCACATGGGTCCTATCATAGATAAGGGCCATAAGGACGACATGGAGCTCTGCATTGGATCTGAGAGATGTGCAATTCAAGTTGGGACTCTGCCATGAATTTGAGAGCCGTGCAGACCACATAGGGATCTGCTATTATCTGAGGGCTGTATGGACCACATGGTTCTTTGCCATGTATCTGGGGGTTGTGTGGTTCCCAAGAAACTCCTTTGGATTTATGGGGCATGTGTGCCACATGGTGCTATTCCATGGATCTCAGGCATGTGTGAACCACTGTAGGCTCTGCCATGGATTTGAAGTCTGTGTAGCTCAAGTGGGGATTTTCCATGCACCTGAGGACTGTGATGACCATGGTTTTCAGGGGTGTGTGGCTCATTCAGGGCTCTGTCATGGATGTGTGTGCAATGCAAGCCACATTTGGCTCTGCATGGATCTCAGGTTTGTGAGGACCACATGGCGATGAGACATGAATTTGAAAGGAATATGACTCACTCACGGTTCTGCCATGGATTAGAGGGGTATTCAGATCACCTGGATAAATGCAAAGTCCTGCCATGGATCTGAGGGACATGCTGACCCTCTGATTCTCTGCCATGGATCTGAGGGGAGCATTGGTCACATGGGTCAATGCCATGGACTGGAGGACTGTGTGGATCACACTGGGGTCTTGTATGGTTTTAAGGTCTTTGCAGTTGTGCGGGGCTCTGCCATGCATTTGAATGCCTTTTGGCAACTGTGAGTTTCTTCCATGTATCTGAGAGATGCGTGAGCCACATGGCGGTCTTTGCAATGGATCAAAAGCCTTCGGATAGATATGGGCTCTGCCATTCATGTGAGGGCCGTGAGGACCACATCGGTTTCAATCATAGATGTGAGTGGTCTGTGAACCACATGGGGCTCAGGCATGATTTAGAGTGGAGTGCAGCTCACACCAGATAATGTCATGGAAATGAGGCTTTTCAAGACCACATGGAGTTCTGCCTCAGATCTGTGGAACATGAAAACACACAGGGTAGTGTATTTTATGTGAGGGCTCTGTGGATGATTTGGGGATCTGCCACGTTATGAGGGGCCTACACCTTATACTAGGCGCTACCATGGGTCTGAGCGGGGTGTGTGTCACGGAGGTCTCCAGCAGGGATCTGCGGGCTGTATGCCTCATTCAGGTGCCTGTCATGGATCTGAATTGTGTGCAGACCTCTTGGGTCTCTGCCATCAATCTGGGGATCTTGCAAAGCATATGGAGTTGTGCCATAGCATAAAAGTTGTGCAATTCACTTCTTGTTCTGTCATTGTTCTGAGACTCTCAGCCTATATAGGGCTATGCCATGAATATGCGCAGTCTGTGGACTACCCTGGGAGGCCACAAATATGAGGGTAATGTAGACCCCATACTCTCTTTGTGAGAGATCCAAAGGGTGCGCAGACCACATTGCTCTCTGCCATAAATCAGGGCCATGAGAATGGCAAGAGGCTCTGCCATTCATCACCCATTGATTCCAATGGAAGTAAGCGTTGAAAACAGAACCAACTCAGCAATTGCCACCACCAACTGTTCAGGACAATGGACTGTGCTGGGCCCTGTGTTTGCTAGAACATACAAGAATTTGGTCTGGGAACACCTCAGATTAAGTTTCTCTGGGGATCTCCCATATTGAATCTCCAGACTCAGAACCCTAAGCAAGAAAAGCCAGAAGACAGAAGTCAATCAACCACGTCATCTATATGCTGGCAGTGAAATACTGGGCTAATGGAGACTCTATCATGGATTATGTCAATCAGCGTATTCTTCAGTGACCTCATCGAGGTTGGAGTGGCGATAATGGCAGAGAGTCATAACTGTTGAAGTATCAAAACGACTTGAGCAAGTATCTCAGAGCATGCCCCATATCTGGGACTTGGGATGGATGCGAAAGTGGGTTGGGCTTGTCTCTCAATATTCCCCTTTACCCCAGATAGATACATCAAGGGACCAATGTGCAAATAAAAGTCTTACCCACATTCCTATAGCCCTTGAAACTTTTTAGCCTAATTAATTGTGTAAAGATTGTCAAAATATAATAAAAATAACTAAATAAAAAATTTTAAAAAGAATCACATTGAGCTCTGCCATGGATGTGAGGCCCATGTGGACCACATGGGGCTGTTCCTTGGGTCTGAGGGCTGTGTGGCTTATGCATGGCTCAGAATAAGCCACTTATGCATAGCTCAGCTTTGAGTATGAAGATTGTGCAGAACACGGGGTTTCTTCCATGACTGTGAGGGGCGTGTGGGACACATGGGGATCTCTCTAATGAATCAAAGGCCTTTTCAAACATATGAGGCTCTGCCATTAATCTGAGAGAAGTGCAGCTCACATGGGGCTCTAACATGGATCAGAGGGGAGTATGGCTCACTAGGGGCTTTGCCATGGATCTGAGGCCTGTGAGGACAACAGGGGTCTCTGAAATGGATCTAAAGTTCTGGATGCCCACATGTCATTCTTCCATTGATCTGAAGGTTACATGGCTCACCCCGGACTCTGTCTTTTGACCAAGGCTGAGCTCCAAATGGGGCTCAGCCAGTGACATAAGGTTGTGAATCTTTTGCTGATCTCTGAGGGCTTTGTAGACAACATGTTGTCTGCCATTGATTTTACAATTGTATGGGCAGTATGCTCCTCTGCCATGGATCCAAGGATCATGCAGCTCACACAGGACTCGGCCATGCATCTGAGGCTCTTGAGGACAATGTGGTGTTCTGCTGTGGGGGACACATGGGGCACTGCCATCGATCTAAGGGTTAAGAGTACATCATAGGGCTCTGCCATGGATCTGAAAGTTGTGTAGCTCACACAGGTCTCTGCCATGGAACTGAGGACTATGCAGACAACATGGGGCACTTTCCTGGATCTGAGGTATGTGTGGACCAAATGGGGGTCTCTGCAATGAATCAAAGGCCTTCCAGACCACATGGGGCTCTGTCATGGATCAAAGGGATGTGTAACTGAACAGGAGTTTTGCCATGGGTCTGAGGCCAATGAGTACCACATGGGTCGCTAATATGGATCTGAGGGGCTTTTGACCACACAGGGCTAAGCCATGGATCTGAGGAGCAGGCAAGTCACAGAGGACTCTGTCATGGATCTGATTGCTTTGCAGAGTGACATGAGGCTCTGCTTTTGAACTAAAGGTTGCAACTCCCATGACACAGGTGTCTTATTATCCTAATGGGTTCAATGAATTCTTAATGAGACCATCTCTGGTCTTAAGATAAAGCCAGCAATGTACCATCCCAATTTATTAAAAAGCCCAACATAATATCACCTAAAGGAGTCTTCACAATGGATTTGAAGGGCCTGCAGACCATATGTGGCTCTTGTTGCCAGCCGCATCTGTATGTACTGGCTACATGCTGTACCCAAAATGGCGCCGGCCGGAAAAGCCACACCTTGGTTCCTGGTGACGTAGCTTTCGTGGTACTGCGCAGGCGCCTAGCGCAGTGAGCTGAGGCGTGGCCGCGCATGAACACTGGGGCTGACGAATCCAGTCGCCCAGGACCCTGCGTAATCATGACGCCGACCTATCATCGGCGGAGGCGGGGCCAGTCAGCACATAAGAGCAGACAGCCTGCCGGGGTCGGAGCCTTTTCCCTCCTCATCTTGGTGCGCGCAATAAAGATTACCGCAGAAGACTTCACTCGCGTCTGTCTCTCATTGCCGGACGATAAGAAACATGGGCGCGACAACTGGTGCCGGAAACCCGGGACCTGGAGGGAGCCTCCCGTTTTGAATGGGACGAAGTCAGAACTGCGGCCACAAAGACAGGTAAGGAGCTCTGAGAGGGAGAACTTTCGGGTGACTAGGAGCATAAATCGGAGGTATATGAGCCTCTGCTTCTGGTGATAGACATGGGCGCACAGATCTCTCTGGTGAAATTTTTGCAGACGGTTTATGCCCTCCTTAAGGGAGCGGTCAGAGAGAGTGACAAAGCCCTTCAGTCTGCCCAGGATAGTCTCTCAGAAACAGAGCGGGAGAGGAGAACCGGTTTGAAGCAAAAAAGAAAGGTGAAACTGAAAGCAGGATCTTCCTCATCAAGTTCGGAGACATCCGACGCTGAGGAAGGGTACAAGCGGGATAGGCGCTCAGAACGCAAACAACCCGCAGGAAACAGAGGAGGATCAGAAAAGGAGAAGAAAGAGAATGGCGGTGCTACTGCGCCGGCCACGCTCGACCCATGGCCTCAGGGCTCTGGAGCCATTTCACTAATTGCTCCTCCTCCTGTGACGCCATCTGCCCCGCCCATGAGTTGTGGTGCCAGCTCCTCCTTCATTGATCCAGCCACACGCCGGGAACTTCAAAATATGTTCCCCGTCTTAGAAGAAGAAAGGGAAAGAGTTTACAGACAGGTAGATGCATTATTAGTGCGAGAATTGGCCATGTCTGTAAAGCAATATGGTCTTCATGCCAATTATACATTGTCCCTGTTAGAACGCATGGGAGGAATGAATATGACTCCCTCTGATTGGCAATTTGTGGTGAAGGCTGTTCTCCCTAATATGGGATCATATCTAAATTGGAAGGGATTATGGCAGGAGCTTTTGGCTGAGACCGCCAGGGCAAATCAACAGCGCAGCGGCGAAGCTTTGACCTGGTCTTATAATATGCTTTCCGGACAAGGCCAATACTCTGATGATCAAAATAGATATCCATGGCCAGTATATACTCAAATTTCTACTGCAGCTATAAAGGCTTGGAAGGCCCTTTCACTTAAAGGGCAAGAGAAACTGGGCATTACACAGGTTAAGCAGGAGCCGGATGAGCCCTTTGCTGATTTTGTGGCACGCGTAATGCAGGCCGTGGAAAGGACCTTTGGAGAGGGAGATCAGAACACTAAAATGGAAGAGCAGATAATTTGGGAGCAGTGTAATGCAGAATGTAGAGCCCTACTCAAGGATCGTAAGTCCAAGGGAATTTCAGATTGGCTAAAGGTTTGTAGGGATACAGGAGGCCCTTTAACAGCTCATGGACTAGCAGCCGCCATTTTGAGGTCTAATCATAGGGAGAGAACATCACCCGTGTGCTTTCAGTGTGGCAAACCAGGACATATGAAAAGGGAATGCCGTGCAGGGCCTAGCAATAAGCCTCCTGGGATATGCCTATGGTGCCGCAAAGGTAGACATTGGGCCAATGAATGCAAGTCAGTGAAGGATATAAAAGGACGCCCTCTCTCGGGCCAGGAGCCAAAATCACCCCTTAAGCCAGGAGTCAAAAAACGGGAGATGGGGACCGAAGGCCCAGGTCCCCTCGACCAACCGGGCACTCTTCCGTCATGCATGAGGGAACCCTGCCAGGAATGACACCCTGCAAGTCTGGACCTCTGTGCTGCCACCGGAGTCCTCTTAAAACCAGAGGATGGCATTACGCCGGTACCGGACATCTTAACAGACACGGTACCACCTGGTGCGGTTGGGCTTGTGATAGGCCGAGCAGCCTTGAGCTCTCAAGGTTTTATTGTAACACCTGGAATTTTACATCCGGAAGCTAGCTCCTTTTCAGTGCTGTGCTCAGTCGCACGAGGTGCTTTTGCTGTCGCTTCAGGTGATCCTATAGCCCAACTCATATTTTTACCAGCTTTAATTAGTGCAGATAAGACTGTCCAGACCCAAGTAGAGGTTCCTTATATAAATTTAATGATGGATATGATCGATAGACCCATGCTTGAGTTGCAAATAGAGAATAGACCGTTTATGGGACTTTTAGACACAGGAGCTGATAAGAGCATCATAACCTCCAAGTATTGGCCGCGTGATTGGCCTTTGATTCAAACTTCTCATAGCCTACGCGGTCTGGGGTTTGAACAAGCTCCATCCCAAAGTGCCAGAGCCCTACAGTGGAAGGATAAGGAAGGCAATTGCGGGACAGTCACACCCTATGTCCTGAACCTACCGGTTTGCCTTTGGGGAAGAGATATTCTTCAACAGATGGGGATACGACTAGTCTCCAATGCCTCCGGTTATTCTGAAGTCTCTCAAAAGTTGATGGATAAAATGGGCTATATTCAAGGAAAGGGTTTAGGTAAACAGAGTCAAGGTATTGTCCAGCCAATTGAACCCCGGGGAAATCCAGGCCGTAAAGGTCTGGGTTTTTAGTAGCGGCCATTGGCATGCAGCTGCCCATACCTTGGAAAACAGCGGAGCCGGTTTGGGTTCCCCAATGGCCGCTTTCTCTTGAAAAATGCCAAGCTGCTCAACAATTAGTTCAGGAACAGCTACATTTGGGACATCTGGAGCCCTCTGTTTCTCCTTGGAATACTCCTATCTTTGTTATCAGAAAGAAATCAGGAAAGTGGCGCCTCCTACATGATTTAAGAGCTGTAAATGCACAGATGCAGTGCTTTGGTCCCGTTCAACGTGGCCTTCCAGTTTTGTCATCCCTCCCTAAGCAATGGCCGTTATTAGTGATTGATTTGAAGCATTGCTTTTTTTCTATACCATTAGCATTGAAGGATAGAGAGAGGTTTGCTTTTACTATTCCCTCCATTAATCATGAAGAACTGGATAAGCGATATCAATGGAAAGTTTTGCCCCAGGGGA